ACATTTTTTCCTTCCTACCAAACATACCCTTAATGTTTTGATATCCCAGAATCCAAGCTTTAGATTTCTTTAGTATCCATCTTCAACTTTAACTTATTTGTACAATCTCAGCCTGTTCAAGGGCCAGAGAAAATGACCCAAGTAATTGTTGAAGCATTAGAACTCACTGGACAAAGGGGGATCATCAACAAAGGCTGGGGTGGCCTTGGCAATTGTAAGTTCTCTTTTCTGGAGTTGGGAATTCTGCTTATTATTCTAGTGCAAGAATAGGCAGTTTATTTATTTATCTTTTTATTTATTTTTGTGTATGTAACTCATGTAATTTTGTGGGTGGAACTCAGCTAATACTTTATTTTCGTTCTGTAACCAGTGGCTGAACCAAAGGATTCTGTGTACTTGCTCGATAATTGTCCCCATGATTGGCTTTTCTTACAATGTTCTGCAGTGGTGAGCCTTTTGCTACGTTTACATCTTTCCTGTTACTTTTAGCTCTGCACCAATAAGGATACGAAGCTCAAGGAATATAGAATAAGGCCAAAGGACAAAACTTGGGGCAGAGGGTAAGGGTTGAGGTGGACTGCAAAACGGAGGAATGACTTGTGATTTTCAATATTGACTTAGTTTTATTCATTGGTTATCCATAGTTTTTATGTGGGATTATCAATATGGACCTTCGTTTTATTCATCGATTACCCATAGTATGATGTTATTAATTAGTTAATACTGTATGGGTCATGAATTCTTGACTACTAGAGTGGCATGGCCTGGGCTTGAGACGTAAGATGCTGTGACATGACTTTGGGCTTGTGTGCATGTCCTTGGCCACTTTTTCATAGTGTCTAGAGCTTTTGACCACGTGTAGTTCTCTGATTATGTTTCATATGTTTTACTCTTGCCCTCAGTTTTTGTATACTTATAGATGTGTGAATATGTGACGGTTTCGTGGGTTTATTGACCTAACATAATCCCACACTGGGTTGTTCCAGCCATCAGCTGGAAAATATTGGTTAGATCCAGGACCAAGTGGTGCCAACATGCAACGTTAATGTAACAACAATTGTTTGGATTAGTCATTAGAATGTTTAGTAAGCCTAGTGGCTGTGTTAGACTAAGTAATTTTGTTTATGATGTTTGTGCTAAACTATTTGATTAACTGTTTCTCTCATAACAACTATTTTACTCTTGTCAAGATCCGTGATTGAAGTGCTGCCTCTTTTCCAGTGTCCTGTCTATTTTAAAAAGATGGGTTACTTCTATGTAAGGTCAGGTCAAGTGACTGATTTTATGCTGCTTGGAGTTGCAGTTGGGTGGGAAATTGGTCGCTTGGTACTTTTTTGCCACTGCCAAATACACTCTATTGCTTCATAAGGGCCACTCTCACTAGTCCTCACTTAATTGAAAGCTTTAACAAACTTCCTTTTATGTGCTTTGTATTTGAATTATCCAAGCTTAGCATGTGTATGATAAATGACATGGCCGGTTTTCTCTTTCTTTCCAGGTGCACCATGGGGGTGCTGGAACAACGGCTGCTGGTCTTAAAGCTGCGGTGATGTTACTGCTACTTGTTTACTCTTGTTTCCTTGTGTTTATTTGGCTAACCGTATGTTAGCATTATTTTCGGATTACAGTGTCCAACAACTGTTGTCCCCTTCTTTGGTGACCAGCCATTTTGGGGGGGAAGGGTGCATGCTAGAGGTGTAGGCCCTCCACCTATACCTATTGATGAATTTTCACTTCCTAAGCTGGTTGATGCAATTAATTTCATGCTCGATCCTAAGGTACTTTGCTATTTATTTCCCATGTACTGAATTGCTTGCTGAAGTTATTGAAGAGCAAAAGTATTTTACTATGAAGTTAGTCCATATCCTGGAGTTTAATTTGCCAAAGTTATGTTCAGAGGGCCTTTTGGGTCTTAGTTTCTTACTGCAACATCCTCTAGATTACTAGAAACTTGAGAGTGATGGTGAGGTTATCAATTCAAATGGATATTCCTTGTCGTTTGCCAAATTGAAAATTTGTTCATTTATTTTTTAATTTTGAAGAATTTTGGATGTTTTGAAAACTTGAGAAGGTGGAATTGTCTCTCGAAATGAACTAGTGAGATAATGCCAGGTAAAGGAGCGTGCAGTTGAGCTGGCTAAGGCGATGGAGAATGAAGATGGGGTCACTGGAGCAGTAAAAGCCTTCTTTAAGCATCTTCCACGCAAAAAGCCTGAGCCTGATCAAATACCTGCAGCACCAAGTTTGTTTTCTATAAGAAGATGCTTCGGTTGTTCCTAGATTTGAAAATGGATAAAGATATGAAATCTCTCTGTCACTATTTACTATACCTTGTTCCTGTAATTATAGAATATATTTATATACACCCAATTGGTCTCTCCCAGCCAGAACCTGTAACCTTGATTATTACTTTGTTCTATATATAGTTGGATACCGCTGCAAAATAACAAGCCAATTTCATATTCATCATAAGATGAATCAATGTTGTAAGTGACAGTTTTAAATTGTCCTTGTTATGTTTTAAGACTTCTTATCTCCTTGCATTTAAAAAGAATGTGTTTACCACAATTAGAGTATGTTATTGTTTTTTCCCTCCTGATCTGAATCTGGAAAACAGTGGTGGGTTCGTTAATTTTCTGAATTTGCTCAGGTGGTCATAGTTTGTTGTAAAATTATTTTAGCAGCATGCCATTCGAGAAAGTACAATTTCCAGAAAAGTAACGATGAGAACAAGGAGGGGTTCCGTAACTATCCTGTATTTGTTATTCCCAAAGCTCTGCGAAATAGCTTTCAGTTGTTGGCTTGTTGCAGCATTTAATAGAGAGAGTTGCACTTGTTCATTGGCTTTCTACAACTTGACCTTCACTGGTGGACTGTTTTGATGCTTAAAGAAAGAAAACACTGCTAGTAATACATGCTGGAGTAGATAGATAAATTCAGGGGACAGCATTCGGATTGCGTGTTATAAAATTAGAAAATCTAACAAAAGGATTTTAAAAAGATTGCATGAATGTCATATACTGGAATAATTTTAACAAATTTTAAAAGTATCTTTGCATTTTCCCCCCTTCTTATTTACTATATAGTAGTATAATTTTATCATTTCGGCACCGGTGCGAAGGTGGAGAACTGTCAACGCTCTTGCAATAACTATATGACTTTAATTTGTTGGCCGAAAAAACCTTTGAGAGTCGCCACGTCCGTGAACACATGGACCACGCTGCTGTTATTGTTTGTGTGGGTGATGACATATACGTGAAATCCCAAGACATGCAGCCAATGGATGGAAGGAAGACAAGTTGCATATATAGCCATTGGCGGTGGATGTCAGACAGTGATGCAGGGAAGGAAAAGGGGAGGGGAGAAGAACTAGTTGCTCTTTTCCCCCCATAACTATTTATTGAAAAAAGCAGTTATAGAGCAGTGTAGGCCATTTGCTAAAACAAGAGAGGTGATAAATAAAAAATAAGTAAGGAAACTAGAATACTGACCCAATCCTCTAGTGTGTTTAGCCTTTTGTCAGCTAGGAAACCATTGGAGAGAACAAGCAGCACTAGGTTTTGCGCGCAATAGTAGATTTTAATTACTCTCGGACCGAAGCGGATCTATACTAAACACAATAGATTCTGACTGAACTCATAGCGTCTTATTCAAACTTTGTAATTTTGTATATACATGTACAAAATTAGCACATATATAAAGAGCAGAACTCAGATTTGCCACTGCTTTTGGATACGAAAAGAATCTGTAATGTACCAGGCTAACGCAAGTTGTACTTGCAACCAAAAACGTCAATTCTTTATCAAGAAACTACTTTACACAAGCAAGCTTTATGCGCTTATTTTGCCATATTGAGCATCACTTGAGCAATTCTATGACATAAGATTGGTTTTTCTTTAAAACTAAGCTTTGTACTAATTTCATTGAATAGAAAGCATAGATACTTGCAAAATTTAGGGGAGAGTTTTTTTTTAATTGAGATAAAAGACAAAGAAGTGAAGCTAATTGTAGGAAACAGCAAGTGCCTAAGAAGTTGTCAGAAGGGGTGGGAGGCAAGATTCAATTACCCAATCCATACAACACAAGTCTGCTGAGTTCTGATCTAACCAATCTCTTCCATTGCCTCAGCATGCAGAATCATCATATTGGACGACACTTAGCTTTCTCCCCACTTATCCTCTTCTTTTACTACTACTACTCCTCAAATTCTCTCTCTTATATCTCTTCTCAGTATTCACTTCCCCAAGCCCATACACCCCTCTTGTGCCTGTCCATTTGCACACTTTTTAATACTCCGCTTCATTATTTCTGTCTTCACATTTCCCAACCTCACTTTCTGAACTTAAACTGTATCTCTTCCCACCTCTTTCTTTGATCACTTCATAAGGTAGTCACAACTCATAACCCTCAAGTTCAAAAGTCTCTATTCTTGTTTCTTTCTGTTCCCCCTTAACTTGTTCCTCTCTGCTCTTCTCCTCCAACTCAAAGCTAAGTCTTCTTCATTTTTCTCAAGGTTTGTATGTAGTTCACCATAACCGTATTTCATTATTCCACTTTTATTTGGAAGTATATTTTTAGTCAAGCTAGTATGTTTACTTCAAAAATCATATGCAACGGCAAAGCTACCTGAAGTGAAGGAGTTTAATTAAATCCCTTGCCGGAAAATTATACTGTCAATATAGGATAAAATAATCTTTTTGTGTATATAAAAATTGTTGAATTCTTCTTGACATAGATTCATATCTTAAATTTCTCCCTCCGAGATTACTAATCCTATGTTTTATAGGAACCTTTTAGTCCTATTCAAGATTTATATCCCAGTTTGAAGATAACAAAAAATTCTACTAATTTTTTTTTTTAAATATGTTGAGTTCAACTCATGATTAGGGATTGTAGTGCAGAAGTAGTTGTTGTTTCTTTCATTATTCCATAACCTAGTTATTCAAAGTTCTTCATTTATATCCCTAACTAGGTTTTATTGTGACATTTACTTTACAGATATGGAGAGTGAGAAAGTAAGCCATGTCCAACCAAATAATTCAGAAGACAACAACACAAGGTCATTTCCATGCTTATATTGTTCAAGAAAGTTTCATAGTTCACAAGCTTTAGGAGGCCATCAAAATGCTCACAAGAAAGAAAGGACAGCAGCAAGAAAAAACAAGAGAATTATGTCATCTCATCATGATCATTATGCTGCTAACTTTTCTTCAGTACTTCCACAAGGACCACTTGTTTTTGCACCTAACCATCCAATTGGCCTTATAAATCATCCTTCTCTTTACATAACTGCTCATGCAGCCAACTTTTGTCAATTTCCAGCTGGGCAGCAGCAGCAATTTTCTACTAGTAGATTTGGATCAAATGGTGCACCAAGATTTGAGAATAATGCAATGGTGTATCGAAATGGGAATTATTTGAGTAATAGTAATCCGTATGTTCATGAAGGGGATGAACAAGGTTTCCCAAAATGGCAAAAGAGTAGTATTATTAGTCAAAGATGCAACAATAATGATTTCTTTCAAGAATGTGAAGATGATCTGAACGTACCAACTTTTGTTAAGGACCATGAAAGGGATAGAGATCAGAAGCTTGATTTGTCACTCCATTTATAGTTTTCTTTCGCTTTATTTTTTTTTAAAATTTTGGGATTTTTGGGTTTTTATTTAGAATGCCCATCACTTCTCTACTTTTTGTAGTCTTAATGATATCATAGTGCATTCTGATGCCTAATCAAATTGACGCTTCTTCTAAAGCGCACCGCATTGGTCTACTCGCAACATTCTATCTTTTAAAACCAATGCATTTGATTTATGTAACGTACAACAATTCCTACTTATGCCTATTATGAATCTCCCCTTTAAGAGGGATAAACTTGTTGGGGTTTTATAGTAAATTTGGTGTCACGACTCATTTCCATTATAGGTCATGATGGCGCCCAACACCATTGTCAGGCAAGCCAACGCGGAAATATAAATAAGTGTTCACTTTACTTTACCAAAAACAAGTACTGCAATTTCTAAAACTGGAAGTTAAAACAAGCGATAATCAGTAATGTACCCAAAATAATTATATATTTCCCAAAAGAATAGTCTACTAATGTGTGTGTCAAGACCTGGTATCACAAGTTGTGGGCACTAGTAGAATATACAAAAGAATAAATCCATCCTACTGTCCGAAATAGAATAGACAGCCCAAAAATAAAGAGAGACTCAATCAAGCTGCAGAACGACGCGGGAAAGGAGCAGCTCACCATGGAAGTCTCGAACTATGATCAGGGATGCGCACCAGACTGATAGCCTGATGTACCTGCCTCAAATCCTGTACAATTAAGTACAGAAGCGTAGTATAAGTACATAAATAGCATGTACCTAGTAAGTATCCCGTCTAATCTCGAAGAAGTAGAGACGAGAGGTCCACTTGATACTTACTAGGGTCAAATAATATAATAATGTATTATGCTAAGCATGAAAGTCACAAGTAATTAACAGTTTGTAGCGAGGAGTAATAAGTCATGTCCTTAATAATATCACAGTTAGCCATTTACATTTTTAAACATCTAACACAGCAAGTCATGAATAAGATTTCACATAGATATCATGCGCACGTTATGCCGAGGTCGATGACCCGATCCAACAGAAAAGAAACTGTGCACTGCTAGAAGATCGAATGACACGAACCATAGATGCATCTATTTCTACCGAGGTGATCGGCCTGATCCACAAGTATCGATTATCATCAGGGAAACACGTGAAGGCGCATTTATATTCAAATAAATTCATACAAGTGTTCGACAAGTACATACGTTCACTTATATTCATTTTCAAGTCTCTAGCATATCCTAAGTGATCACCTTAGCAAGAAAATATATAAATATTTGCAAATATGGCATGATACGGGTCATAAACTATCCGGACAATTAACATAATAGTAGCTACGCATGGACTCTCGTCACCTAGTGCGTACGTAGCCCCCGCATTTAGTGGCAAATTATTCAATTATTACACCATTGGGGACAATTCCCTCTTACAATGTTAGAAAGGAGACTTACCTCGCTCCAAAGTGTACTTCCAATACCAAGAACGTGCTCAAACTCTCAATTTGGAGCCGAATGATCCAAAACTATTAAACAAGGTAGGAATTAGTCAATACAAGCTCACAAGCTTGAAGCAATTTCCCAACCTTAAACATAAGTTTCCTAAAATCCAACCCCAGGCCCACGTGCCTGGATTCCGAAATTTTTCAAAGAAAGTTGTTCTTTATAATCTAAGGATCAATAATATATGATTTCTAATTCATTTCATAACAAATTTCGTGGTTAAATCTAACTTTTATCAAAACCCTAGGTTTTGCTCTAACCCCATGATTTTACCTTAATCTTTGTGTGTTAATCTACCCAAGACTCAAGTATTAAACTAGAAATAGGTAGGATAAACTTACCTCAAGATGCTAGGTGAAAGTCCTCTCTCAAAAGCTCCAAAATCGCTCAATGGGTGAGTGAAATATGGCCAAAATGACTTAGAGCCCGTATTAAATGAAGCTCACTGCTTCAGTGATTTCCGCATCTGCGGTCAGGAGACCGCATCTGCAGTCAAGAGACCGCATCTGCGAGAGGAAGGTCGCATCTGCGGAATTGGCCAAGAGAGTTGGGACCGCTTCGACGGTCTTGAAGCCGCTTCTGCACTGCCACTTCTACGTCTTTGGCTTGGCCTGCCTTGGCTAGGGATGGGCATAAAATCCGAAAAATCGAATTCTGAACCGAACCGAATTAATTTGGTATTTTGGTTTCAGTTTTTTTGGTATTTTAGTATATTTCGGTATAGAAATTATGGTATTTCGGTACGGTATTCGGTGTTGAGTTTTTGATATTTCGGTATACCAAAATACCGAAATATTTAAGTCCAAGCCCAACTCTATTTCTAATTTCTAGGTAAAAATAGCACGGTATAGCCAGTTTTCGGACTAGTCATTCAAAAATAGTCAGTGTTTATGAAGTCAATGAAAAATAGCCACTATTTTGCTGCAACAGAGACCGGTCCAGCATAATATACTGGAGTTCGGTGCACTGTATATGAACTCCAGCATATTATGCTGGACCAGTATACTTGCTAACTCCAGTATAATATACTGGAGACTGGAGCACTGGTGCTCCAAACTCCAGTATATTATACTGGACAATTATACTTGCTGGAACTCCAATATATTATGTTGGAGTTCTAGTGTACTTATGCTGGAACTCCATCATATTATGCTGGAGTTCCAACATACGTATCCTGGAACTCCAGTATAATATGCTAGAGTTCAAGCATACTTATGCTGGAACTCCAGTATAATATACTGGCGTATTTTCCGGGTTTTGAACAGTGTTTTCGCTCAGATTTATCTTTACATGAAAAGTGGCTAAATTTCGATTACTTTTGAAACTGGGTTATTTTTGAACGACCAGTTGTAAATCTGGCTATTTTTGAATTTCTCCCAATTTCCAGCCAAATAAGCCTAAGCCCAACACCTTAAGCTCCTAATTCCCTATTCCCTTAGGCTTTGAGATAGCACAGCAGACTTACGTTAGCTTCTTCCACTTACCCATTTCCTTTCTCTATTTTCTAACCCAATAGTAGAGGGCAACTACGACTTCACAACCTCGGCGAGCGGCGACGACAACTCCTCTCCTCGGTGACTACTTGCTTGCTCATTGTTGACCTTCATTCTACAATCTTCAAGTCTTCAACAGGTTCATAACTTCTTCATTCTCCATTCTTCAATCTTGTGGTTTTATGTTAGTATTCAACTAATTCTTTTGCCATTTTTCACCTCACGCCTTCACCGACTGGTTGGGTGGGTAAAGATACTTGTTTTTATCACTTTTCCTTTTATGAAAATATGTACGAATTCACTATATATTTATTCGGAAGCTCGTTCACTGCCTAAACGAAATCCTATTTTCTAGAACATATTCATAAGTGAACTGAAAATTCCTTCTCTTTTGTACTCAATAGACTTATTATTTTGACAGTTTGGTTACTCAATGGGGTAAAAGTTACTCTATAACGATGATATGGTAAAACTAATTGGGTTAAGTGTTCTGTCTTTTTGTTCTTCTCAATAGTACTTTCAACCAACTTTGTTACTTAGTAGTACTAAGTTTTGTTTTTAATTAGTCTTGTTCTATTTTTAGCAGGTTTGCCGCTGGAGGGGCTGTAGATTGATATCCAATAGTACTATTTTTTATTTTAGTTGGTCTTGTGCTATTTTTAGCATGTTAGAAGGTATGTAGATTGACTGATGAATATAGTAGTTTCAAGAATGGTGTGCATTGAAGTACTTTTATTGGAGGTTGGCGACAAGGATTGATCAATTGCATCCTTGAATTTAATGATAGTAGATTGACTGATGAATATAGTAGTTCTGTAGTTTCTGCATTGCTTCAGAAACAAAGAAGTGAGAAATATCCTTATTGTTTAACTATCTGTTAAATTTCATGCTTATTTCAGTGGAAGTTCTTCATTGTTATGTACAAATTAAGTGTTCTCTACATCTAATAGGACTGTGGGAGTGTTAATTGTTATAATTTATAACTGCACCATTACCAGGGATGGTGCGATACCGAAACTGTACTGAATCGTACCGAACCAAATAAGAAAATACCGAACCATATCGAATTTGGTATGCACAATTGATATACCGAATACCGAAATATCGAACTGTAATTTATAAATACCGTACCGAAATACCGAACGTCTACCCCTAGCCTAAACCGCATCTGCAGGATGATCGCTTCTACGGTCTCGCACATGCAGCTGACCCACCACAGGTGCGGTTATGACAGGAACCTAAAGCTTCAGCTCATCCCAAATAATCCAACTTCACTCGAGCCTCGTCAGATTGATGCTCGGGGTTCCCGGATCCCGCCCGAACATACCGACAAGTTTGAAATTATGAAACAAACCCGCTCAAACCTTCGGAATGCCTGAAACAATGCTAAATCTAAGAATCACCCCCTAAAACCAATTGATTGAAACTTATGAACTTCAAGCTCTTCAATTCATTTCTAACGTGCAGAAACGTACTAATACTACTCGGATTGACACTAAATTTTGCGGGCAAGCCTTAAATGCTATATTGGACCTGTACCGGGCTCCAAACCAACATACGGGCCTGATACCAACATGATCAATCATTAGTTAATTTCTTTAAATCCTTAGAATTTCAGTTTAATAATTTCTAATAAAAATTCATTACTCGGTCTAGGGACCTCGGAATTCGATTTCGGGCACACGCCCAGGTCCCGTATTTTTCTATGAATCCTTCGGGACCGTCAAAGCACAAATTCGGGTCCGTTTGCTAAAAACGTTGACCAAAGTCAAACTTAGCCTTTTAAGAAAATCTTAAGGAATCAAATGAGCCTATTTCAACCCAAACTCTTTCAAATCCCGAACCAACCATCCCCATAGGTCGTAAATTAGTTAAAGCAAGCGTGGGAAGTTTTATTTAGGAGGACGGGGTTCTAAAAAGCAAAATGACCAGTTAGGCCGTTACATTCTCCACTTCTTAAATAAACGTTCGTCCTCGAACGGACATAGAAAAGTACCTGAGGTGCCGAATAAATGTAGATATC